GTGAAACGAACTGAGGAATTTTCTTTAGACTCCCAAATTTAGGGGATGGATGCAAAACCGACCTTTCGCCCATCTCCGCTCATCCTTTCCTCCCCCTCCCCCTGTCAATCTGGCTTAGGCTATCCTATTATTTTAAAATTTTCTATACCTTCCCTTCCTTCTGACTCAATGGTTGATTTCAGCTTTGTGTTCAGTCGTAATCCAGTTAAGTATCTGTATTACGGCATTTGGTGATCTCAATAACTTCCATGTCAGATGCATGGATATGCCTGACGGTTAAGGTTCCATCATCCGCGGTGCTGATATTGATGGAAGATGCTGCCCTTGCAGCTCCGCACTGCCCGCATTGCCATCGAACCTTATGCTTCGTGTGCATGAAGCCTTCCGACCTTCGTTCCTCCTTGAATGGCCTTGATAGTCTCCATCGTTGAAGTAAAAATAAAGCACAGAGGGTTCTTATAAAGAAACCGAAAAAATGCTAATGAATGACAGCCATCCCATATACCATTTCGAAAAAAAAAGACATCTTACCAAAAATAAGAACGGAGAAGTGGACATACGTTCACGATGGCAAGGATCGAAAATTTCCATATAAGCTTTTCTAGATGAGCCGATACATATTTGCAGCTGGGAATATATATTTCTTAGAATAGGGAGGAATAGGGAGGGGAGGATGGGCAAGATTGGAGAACGTAATGAACCTTTAAATACTGCTCTAGCATCCAGTGAAAATAAACATCTTGAATCATAGCCCCCAAATGCTTTCAAGCTTCAACTTCAAAATAAAGAACTTAATTTTAGAAGGTAGTCATGAGTAAAGGACGCAATTATAAAAATTTTCGTTAACTCTTCATGAACTGTCATCGTACATTTTTTACCACAGGGACCATTTTGTCCTATCTCTCATTTGGTACCAAAATGTCTGGGGCCATTTTGTCCTGGATTCATAGCATAGCATGTGCAGGAATAACATACAAAATACCATTTTTATTGGAAAATCTAAAGTGCATCGCGTTAATATAGTCAGAATTATGCGTACAAAACATAAAAATTGAGTTTTTTTTTAAAAGTATGATGCGAACACAGCTCAACTTTTTTTATGAAGATTTTTCTTGGTTTCGTCTCGGGTGGCTTTTTTTCAGCATGTCAAATCTGAGGGTCTTTTTTTGAACTCAGAATATGAGACAGAAAGTTCATATCCCTTGGCTAATCAATGCTAGGTGGATTAGTGAAGAATGGGAACATGCCAACTGGCGCGAATGGGGTTAAACATAGGGCGGGAAAAAGGGAACTACATGCTACAGCTCAAATAGGTGTGACTCGAGTCTCAGCTGATTAAAAAACTAGAAAAAGTAAGTCCGGACGGATCAATTGTAGAGCACAGTTCTTTGGGATCCATCGTCATCAAATATTGGTCGGTGCAAGAAGAATATCGATTCGGGTCGGTTTGGACTGCAACAAAGGAGCCCTGGCGCATCCATAGAAGTGCGCATTGCGGAAGCGGGACGTTGGCTCGGTGACGTCAGCACTGCTGGTGCGACTTGGCTTGAGGGAGGGGGAGGGGATTTCCAGTGTGCCCATGCGCCCAGGATCTCTATGGCCAAGGTTTTATGTCCCCGGGATGCCGCATCAAGCGGCTAAAGGGATAGAATGGGAGAGGCTACGATTTGCAGTGCTGGCATATTCCTTTATCGGTATTTTAAGATTGATAAATTATATTTAGAGATAGAACGACTTAAAGGGAAATAGAAATCTCTGACTTATATCTTAGGCAAAATTATAATAGAAAAAGTCATTGTCTAATTAACAATACTTTCAAAATAATGCTATCTATATGGGGTGGAGTAGATGACAAGGGGAGGGGATGACGAGAGTAGGCGGTCCCCTGGAAAAAGGCGCCATCTATATGGAGCATCGCGCTCCGCCATCTTATTCTCTTTCCGGTTTCAGTCTGGCGTCCGTCGTATCGATCATCAAGTCAGCTCCGTAGTATTCGTGATTCCAGAAGTTCAAGCATGTCTGGTTATGGGCAGAATTACATGGGAGGAGGAGGAGGAGGAGGTGGAGGAGGAGGTGGAGGTTTCTCTAACTCCAATGGCTCGCAATACGGAGGAGGAGGAGGAGGAGGGAGCATTCCTCCACCAGGCAAGGATGATGAGAGGTGGGTTCCTGACGACGCGACGATCTCAGTTACGTAAGTTGTGGATGGGCTTGACTTTGATAGTAGGCCTAACTCCAATGTTGGGCTGAAATGGTTTTCCAATTTCAGTACAGAGTTTGACACTTTGGAGTTGACGTTAATGCAGTAGGTTTAGGTGTGCAGGTACTTTCATTTTAAGAACTAATGCTTACGTTTAAGGGTGCTCGTTTTTGCTACAATGCCGTTTTTCTCGGTATTTGTTTTATTTATTTAATTATTTTTAACAGGAAGTTAGAAAGGACATGAACAACTTTTTCATTTAGGGCACTCTACAATGAATGATTTAATTTTTTTTAAATGAACTACTTTTCCCACGCATTTAGGAATTTGATGTGCTGCCAAGCGCCAACAGGGCCGTTAGGAAAAATCAGATAACTGTCGAAAAATAACTTTGTGAGCTCGGACATTGATCACATTACCCTAAGTTTCAGATCACTACTTGGAAAAGCCAAAATCAATGCTCTGGGCTTAAATATTTGTAATTGGAATAAATTGAAATCCCAAGTTGCTTCTGCTCTGACAGTGGATGCAGTTGTATCTGGGGTCATGCATGAACTAGGCCCTGGGACCAATTATTTTATTTCCAATTTGAACATAAATAATAGAAATGGAAGAAAGAAATTCAGACCCGAGTGGTGAAAAATGATCAGGAAAAGTAAGCAAAGTAGGCAGTGTTTTTTTCAGTGAATAAATAATTTTCATAATGCATATATTTTAGAGGTACTGTAAATTTTGGTTTTACAAAGTATTGGATGCCATACTTTCATTTGAAATTATTATAATTTAAAGTCACGTGCATTACTGTTCCATTAGGGATTACTTATGAAGATCAAATGAATATAGCAAGGATTTCCCTCTGTAAACTTTGAGAATTTTAGGTGAATTTTTTTGGGATGGTGACCCTTATAAGACCAAAAAGAAAATGCTCTCTTAGGATTCTTGCTAGTAGTGTTGGGAAAAATTTTGTGTTGGGTGACAGGAAGCCTGTGGATGAAGCCCTCAAGATTATTTGGTAAAGGCTGTAGAGAATAGAGAAGTAGAGCATTGGTCTCTTTACAGTGCTTCAATCCCCCTTCCTGTCCTGTCAGCAGGAGAAGCTTAGAGCATAATAATCTTTTTGAGATCTTAGTAGGAATGCTGTTTCATGGTTAGGCTAGAATACATGTTCATGCTTGCCAGAACAATGAGGATTTCTTCTCATTGAATTTCCATGCTTGAGTTCTTGTGTTGCACCTTCCAATATAATTCACAACTTTGAAATTGGGATAGGTCTGTCACTTGTTTAGCCTTTGCAGTGGGCATTTTCCCAACACTGCTAGCCTTTTCCAAAACTTGAAGCTTTTGTGATAAAGTTATTCTTAACCTTGGTCACTTTTTGCATTTTTGGTATGGCAGTAACAGGACTTGAGAATAGCCTTGGATCTCATGGAGGGAATTGGATATAACCTATGGCAAGCTTTGTAATAAAAATTAGCAAAGTTAAAAACTAATTCAATGCATGTTGGGACAGATTATGAAATGGTGAATGGAAATACAGATTGAATCATGGGCTGGCAGAATTTCTAGTTTGTCAATGAGTGTTAATGGTTTGAGCTTAGAATTAATGGTGAGGAAAGTTTACATCTGGCTTTCCCCATGGTGGCTTGGTCTAAATGTAAATCATTACCCATTTCCCAGCTGTCAAATTGCTGAATTAAAAAAAGTACCAGTATATATTGGAAATGGAAGGCATGTTTGCAATGTCATATTGTGTTAAATGTTAACATTGAGTGACAAGGTTGTAGGAATAAAGCACAGCAATGTTATTGAGGCTGAGAAAACGAATGTTCATCAGCAGGAAAAATTTAGTATTGCTCTCCCATGAAGTCAATCAGGAATGTTAATAGCTATGCTCCATTTGCTTTAGAATGGTAGCAACTGGTTGTTCTGGAATTTCATATAGGTAATGCCCTACACAAGTGATTCTTAATATTCTGCTAGATTTCTTTTATACTGCGATTTCACCCCAGGAGATCTGTGCAAACTTTGCATGCACTATGGAGAATCCAAGTCAAGCCTGATGTTATGATAGCTTTTTTTTTTTCTTCAAAGTTTCAGATGGAGGAAGATGGAAGATTTAGACGTCAACATGTGCAACTGCTTGTTCTAGAGATCTAATCAATGCTCAAAACTTCTTTGATTATAAGCACCATCATGTGGTCCAATTTAGGGAATGTTGTACATAATTGACATTAATTTTCTGTAAATTTCTTGATGCTTCCACTCCTATTGAGAGGAACACTCCATAGGCAATGACAGGGTATTATCCTCAAAAGTATTTTTTTGTCATTGAGTTGAGTGAGTTTTCACTAACTTCCATCTTCATCTGTTTGTTTTAATTTTGAGGAAAGTATAGTTTTTCAATGTTGAAACAAAGGAGGCCAACTATAGTTGGAATGTGTTCTTTTTAAAAATATTTTTTCCTAATTCGACAGCCCTCTGTTTACTCTGTGATGCACTCAGTTTTGAACTGAAAGCTCATTACTTAAGTTTCTTCAATGTTTATTGCACATTTCATTTTCCCTTTGCCCTTTGAAACAAGAGGGCTCTTTGCTTCATGACATTCTGCCAAATTTAGCATTTTATATCCTGCAGAACAAAGCACTCCACAAAATTGTGAGTTCTGGCCATGCTGATGTATGGTCTTGCCATCTATGCCTCATGCATTTAGTTAATGGTTGTGATGAGAACTGGATCATCTCATTTTGGTTGATCACATTTAATGCCTTTTTTTTTTAAGGCCAGCTAAGTGTCGTTGAACCTATGATTCACTGTCCTCTGCATGAATCATTTGGGGATCCAGATATGTGAGATGTCGATTCTTAGAAACTTCTAATGCTTCATTTAGATGAAAGTTCAAATTGCAGATTTATATTCAACAGTGATCAGACAAGAAATGTAGCAGAAAAGATAAGGATATTCCCTTTTGCAAAACAATTCTGACAGGTTTCAACTTTTTTTTAGAAAAACTATTTATTCTCAGGATTCCTTATCATGGTTCCTGAAATTGTCCATGTTTTGGAACTGTTATGTTTACTGTAAGGATGGATAAACAGAGGGTTGCATCCTTTTTCTATTATTATGCTCCTTTGAGAAATATTGAAAATGTGTTACTTTTCATAAATCATAACTTAGGTTTTTGTTTATAGGCAATAGTGAAATTCTATAGCAACTGGTCCAGTTCAAGAAATGTGGCTAATAACTAATTGTAAGATTTGCTATTCTTATTGATTATGAATTAGGATGTATAACTAATTAATTCCAGGTGTTGTTTGTATGGTATTCCTCGTTCAGGACATGCAAGGAAGCCAGGTGTAACAGTCACCTCATGAGAAGCCCATAACTGCAGAATGTCTTTGATTCAATTTCTGTTTCCACATGAGAGAATTTCAATTCTTCCTCCTTTTTGAGGTTGAAATGTAGTTTTCAATTTTATGTAATAGCATATGACTGGATCCCTTTTGATGCATTGTCTTTTGTTAGGTTTTGGAGAAGCATAGGCTTACCAGACTGAACTGTTTTCATACATGTAAAAAACTTTTAAACTCTGATGTCATTTTGGTGCTCCATCCATATTGAAGAATGTTGCAAGATTTTTGTATTTCATAATTTTTTTTGTTGGAGGAAGTACATGAATGACATTGGTGTTTAAAGCTTTTTGAAACAACTGAAACTACTTGTTAGTGGTACATGCTTGCCTTTATTGATAAATGATGTGACCAGATTGTTTCTGGTAAAATTTGAATTTATTCTTTCTAGAGTTTTGAATTTTTTTTGTAGTGTGAAGGGATATTCCTAATCTCACTGAAGATTAAACTGACTTTTTTGAGAGAAACCTTTGAGGGATAAGTTTTGCTTTTCACATAGCATGAGAAATTAATTCACAGTTATAGATTAAAGTTCTGATGGGAGAAATCCACTTAATTTAGACTTTTTTTCTTGTTTTATTCTCCCAGGTGTCAATTTATTCTTCGGTGAGACAATGTAGATATGAGTTTATATTGCCCATGAATCTCAAATGTTATGGTTCATGTAAAGGCCAAGTGCATTTTTCATTGGTGGGTGTTTTCATTTTTTCTGTCATTTCCTCCGCTCTGTTGGTTATGTCTCAAAGACAAACATACAAAGCCTCTGCAATATGAATATTATGCATACACCATGAAACTTTTTTTTACATGTAGGTCATCTCCAGTTTCCCTAGTTAACCCATTGACTACACACGATACACCTCAATGCATCATGACTAGCTGTACCACTGATGCATGATGGACTAGTATGTCATGAAAATTTCAAATTCTCCCACCTTTTAGAATTTGTATCTCGACTGCATATTTACACAAAGTTGAACACACATCACTCAATGTTGGGCTAATGTAGATTCCTTGGAAAGAGATTGATATGATGGGCATATACAAGTGTGCAATAAAACAAAGATTAAAATTTAGGTATTTTCACAATTTTCCTTTCATATCAGAGGTAGAGCACCCTGAAAAAAAGTGTTTAATCAGGGGGGTAAAGACACTTTCAGGTTGAGGGTTATTCTCTTAGGTAAAATTTAAAAGTACATATCTTTTAAGTTGCTTCATTCTTTTATGACTGGATTTAAGCACGGGCAGGAGCATGTTCTCAAAGATCAGTTTCATGTTTTTTTAATGTTTTAATGTTTTGAGTTTTTTTTTTAATACCTAACTCATCATTGTACCTAGATATAACTTAAATATTTTCATTGGTAGGGGTATTTTACTTTGATCAGTTAGTTTATCCTTTTTGGAGACTGAGAGAAACTCAGTTTTTATACTAAAATTCACACTTCTCAGGACTACATCTTTACAGCTACTCGGACAACAATCATTTTGTCTTAAGCCCAATAATATTTGTTGATGTGGTAGAATGACTTCCTGAGATGCATTGAGTTTGAAGTCCTGGAAGACACAAGTCCTTGTGTCATGTGGAGGAGATTTCCTAGTAACCCCTGTTTTCAAATATTATGGAACTCATTCTGCCTTGTAGTCTTCATTCTATCAGTACTGGGAAGTGATGTTCATGAGCATGGGCAATGGTTTTCTCTGACATGTCTGTAGTGGTTGTTGTTCTCTTTAAATGCAATAAAGTTTCCTTTTTTAAATGAGTGGAAAGAAATTTTTCACATCGAAGAAAGAAATAAAGAGGTGAAACGAGTGATGGCAGAGCACAATATTGACACTCATATTGGTTGCCTCCTGTTTCCCTTTCTTCATATAGAGAAGCACCCTAGGGGAAGGAGTGTGGCTTTAACCCTCATTCCACCCTACAGCATGATGCAGGTGAGGAGCTCCAAAAGCCATCTGTCCTGTTACAGAAGGATTCCTGTTTCATCTCGTGTATGGTCGGCCAGAGGACAAGTTACTCCAGAATTCCCATTACTTCATTCTTCTATCATCTCTTTTGCCCTTGTAAAGGTAGATGGGAGCAAGTGGTTGACTACAGGAGCCTGTAAAGTTAACAGTGACATGTGTACGTTAACGCACAGGCACACTTCAAGCTCGAAGGATTCTCAAGTTTCCTCTGTGTTTTACTTGTGATTTCAATGTTGTCAGCATTTTTCTCTTGTGGAATTTAGGAATTTTCTGTCATGAATTTGCTCTTGTTGTCTTGAACTTTTGATTTGGCTCGTGATGATTAGGTTTAGTCTATTAAGGTTGATGACAAGCTTTAAGCTAAGCTTTTCAAATAATGAGTATCTTTAGCCAGATTTAATTACCTGTTTTCATCTATCCTAATATAGGAAGCTGTTTGTCGGTGGATTGAGCTGGGATACTGTCGAAGGTGTGTTTTCTTTTCACCAATAGAGAGTGTATTTTTTGCATTTTCTTTATTCCTGTCATTTTCTTTTCAGATGACCTGAGAGATTATTTTGGCAAATATGGGACAGTTGAAAATGTGAACCTCAAGACTGACCCTATGACTGGACGTTCCCGAGGCTTTGCATTTGTCGTATTCACTGACCAGTCACCAGTGGAAGCGGTAGGATGGAGATTATTGCTGATTTGGCTAACCACCTTGAGTGAAATACCTCAGATTTGAAGGATGTTTTTTCACTATGCTCTTCAGGTACTATCAGAACCAGTTCATACCATCAAGGGTAAGCAGGTTGACCCAAAGAGAGCCAAGGCCAAAACGGGTAAAATCTTTGTTGGTGGCATTCCATCAGAGGTCTCTGATGATGAGATCAAAGAGTTCTTCTCACAATTTGGCAAGGTTTGTTTCACTCTTTTCTTGAATTGTTTGCCTATTGTCTCCAAGCCTGATGGCTTTGGTTATGAATTGAGTTATTGCTTTACCATTTTAGGTATGAGGAAAAATAATGTTTGGCAGATTCTTTTTTGAACTGTTGACCCCAAAAATGTCTCTTCTCTGACCATATTTGATTCACTTGGTATTTCCCTTGGGAATGAATGGTACAGAATAGGTAGTGCAAGAAGCAGCCATTTCTTTGTGTTGCAGATAGTGGAGGTGGAAATGCCTTTTGACAAGATGCGGAATCAGAGGAAGGGCTTCTGTTTTATCACATATGAGACGGAAGATGTTGTCAGAGAACTTGTCAAAACTCCTAAGCAGTACCTTGGTGGAAAAGAGGTTTGTCCTTGCACTAATTTTGTCGATTCTTCAAATGTGAATATATTTTTGTTAATAGATTGTGATAATGTATTAATAGAATGTCTTCTTTTAAAACTATTTTGTGATTTGCCCAAACTGTGGTTGGGCAAAACCTGGAAGGGGTTAAATGCTATTGCATACACATTTACTCCATACATGCTTATGGAAGCATAAAAAGAATACTTAAAATCTAGCAAAATTGTTACATGATAATGTATTCTGTTATTGAAATTTTAATGAGAAATAAAGAATAAATGAATTGGCATTTTATGGACATAATCTCCTGAAAAATTGGATATGGAAGGGGTTAATGAAAAAAGTTATTGTATATGGTTGATGATTGCAGGTGGATGTGAAGCGAGCCACACCAAGAGGTGAACAAGGTGCAGGTGGTGGTGGTGGTTTTAACAGCCCCCCAATGCGTGGAGGACGAGGAGGGGGTTTCATGGGAGGAATGAGAGGTGGGCGAGGTGGTGCACGAGGTGGCCGAGGTGGATATGGAGGAGGTGGTGGTGGTGGGGGTGGTAATTGGGGTGGATATGGTGGATATGGAGGAGGCTATGGTGCAAGTTCTGATGGTTACAGTGGAGGGTATGGTGGTGAGTTTCAACTAATTATATTCTCATTTGTGAAATGTATGTATTTGCCTCTTGCTTTGAAGCCCAATGTGAGATCTGTTCCTTCCTGGTTAATATTATATGCCCAATTTCCTTGTCAGGTCAATCATGTAAGTGGTAGGTTTCTGCCAGTGATGCATAGTAAAGTCAGTTTATCAGTCGGACTATTCTTCAGGTTGGCAGAGTTTGCTTCCTCCTTTTTTCAACCTATTTATGAGGGAATGTCATGAAGGGGTCATAAAACATCTGATTTTTCATGTCAAGTAAGGTCAGTTCTAAAAGAAGTTCATGATTTATTTCTTTCCTTGGAAATTCAAGACACATCATCTTCACATTTCCCACTTCTCATTGTCTGCTCATTACAATATATTTCATTTTATTATGTGGTTTATTTGGACAAATCCAGTTCATGGGTGAATTTTTACTCCTTGTGATCTCAGAGATCTGTGGCAAATCTTTGAGAATCCTCTTTTCTTATTACCCCAACCTCAAATGTGATGGCTTCTAAAGCCAAAATGCAAGTATGCTAGCTACCATTTGTTTGCTATCATCATTAGTGTTCTCTTTGAGTGCCAGCCTGAAGAGTGGTCCTACAATAATTCATTCACCTTAGTCTCAGCACTTCCCTCAAGTCATGGAATTTTCCATCACCTTGATGTGTCCTCTTTTTGCTCTTGGTAATTGTTGCTGGAGCTTAATGAACGCTATACCAGAGCAGTGGGTAGTTATCAGAAAATTAGACTTGAATGTGTGAGGTCATGTAATTCTTTGGTGTCCTGTGTAGGATCATGTGTGGTGCTAACTTTAAATACAATCCAGTAACATGTTTATGGGAATTGCTGCAGGTGATGGAGGATCTGGTGGTTATGGCGGAAGCAGCTATGATTATGGCAGTGGTGGTGGTGGTTATGGGAATTATGGATATGGAAGCACTGGGACTGGTGCTGGAGCTGGAGGAGCTGCTGCTCCCAGTGGGGGTTATGGCGCTGGAGGATATGGAGCCGGAGGAGGTGGTGGAGGAGGAGGTGGGTACAGTGGTGGGTATGGGAACTCCGGTGGGAGTTATGGAGGTGAGGCCCGGACACATTTCAGTTAAAAAGGTCAGAGGGCATTTATCACAATAGGCACCCTTTCCTTCTCACTGTGGGCTGCAGCAGGGTATGTGTGCTTGATTCCCCCCTCTCTCCGTCTCTTTTTTCTCCCCTTGTAGCTGGATACCAGGGTGCTCCAGGTGGTGGGAAGGCACCCCGAGGTCGTGGTGGGCCCATGAGAGCTCAACCATATTGAACCTCCTCGGGTTCTCGGCATTCCTTCCCCCTGAATGAACTCGTGAACTTTGATGGAAAAATCCCCGCCAGAGTGACAAGAGGGATGTGGCAGTGACAATTAGAGGAGTGACCAAGAGGAGAGAGAGAGAGAGAGTGATTTTACTATGAATGACTCACACAGGCAAGGGAAGAAGTTTGTCAGATCTCATCTCAGCTTGGACTCATCCATCATCCCTCATACTACATTCATGTGCAGCACTTGCACTTTTGGTCGGTCTTTTTTTGTGGGAAGTGATATGGTCGAATGAGTAAAATGGTGTTTTTTTCTAGTTCCCTTTCATTGTTATGTATTCAATTGAGGCTGGGAGGGCCCAATTTAAATTATTGGAAGTACTCTCCTCATGGAAGAGAGTAAATGCTCTCTTCTAGGCCAATTTTGTTGTCCTATCTTGAGGTGTGTTCAGGTACATATTAAAATATCTTGAGGTTGACCTACTTCCACTCTTAATTCTTTATGCAAAGGGTTAGTCTTGCTTTTCCTGAGTCATCTCTATTCTTTGTTAGAGTTGGTGGTGCATTAACGTTTTTGTACCACTGTTTTCTCCAGGAGGCACGACAGTCCTTTGGTTGGGCTTGTCTGTCTTAGGTTTGGAGTGTATTTTTTAATTACTTGTTGAGGGTTAGACTAAAACAATGGCAGACAGTCAGGATTACACTCAAGATCCTATGGAAGGAGACCACAATGAGGAATCCCAGAATGGGATGATGACAGAAATGAATCACAATGAAGAAGATGGCAGTGACAGTCAGGCTTCTGCCAACACACCTGGGAAAGATGATGACAGGTCTGTTGCTTATCCTCAGTTTTCCTTTAATTTTTTAAAAATCTAATCTAAAAGGATTTAAACTTTGAGTGAACTGGAACTCTTTTTTTATTTATATTTTTTTAAGCAAGACTTTTGACTACTTTTAAAAGTGCTTGCTATGAAACTTTCTGGCAGTGCCTCCTTATTTTCAATTCATGGTATCATTAAAGATTGGAAGGTGGACAGTGCATTTTAGTTTTTAAGTGGCATTCCTTTTTTTTTTACTTTAAAAGTCAATGTTGCAAAATGTTAACTTGTTAATAGAGCTTTGTTATAGGATTAGTGGAATTGTTTGTCTTTCTCCATTAATTTCTCTTGTGACAAGTGAGAAATTGGATTGTTCCTTGTTGTTCCTCTTATTTAGAATAATTCCTATTCAGTTGGAAAGATTTTTTCTTATGAACGAAATTGGAATTGGGCCTGGAATGCATTATCTGAGGTCAATCATGATCCTGGTCTGGTTGTATGCTGGTGACTAAGGGGAATGAAAAGCTTCCCAGCTGGACACCTCAAAGTTTTATTTATTAGCATTCCCCCAAAATCTGAACCTGAATTGGATCCATTTACATGACACTGCTAACAGTATGGTTCATATTTTAATGAGGCTTGCATGTTTTTTTTAATGTACCAGATTTGTTCATGCTCAAATGAGTTTGTAAAATATGGGGTAAGAAGTATAAGGATGCTTGAAGCTCTCATCTTGAAATGTTCTTGCCTTTACATGTCAGGTTGAATTACCTTTCTTTGGATTATTTTGAAACAAAGAAGGAACTTGAGTGGGGAGAATGGTTTGAGTTTCTCAAGCATCGCTTGAATGAACTATTCCACATCTGGCAAGTGCTAACACGTTTCCCCATATTTTAGACTTCCATTTCAAGTACCAATTAAAATCATGAAAATATATGATGTTATTTAATTGTCATGGCTGGATTTTGTTTGAAGGTGTGCATTAAATTTATATGGCCTGTGATTGAGTAGCCTTGTACAGTTATTGAATAAAAGTGTTTGTGAATCTGAATCACAGTATCATTGATTTTTTCTTGTCAGGGTGTGGAATAGGTCTAATGAGGGTCCCATTCAGGTTCATTTAAATTCCTTGCCTTGTACATCCATTCTCAAGTGAACTTGTTAAATTCTCTTCCATGTCACTGTGGTGATTTATTTTTCTTGTCTGTATAATTTGTATTATAAATGTTGCGACATGTACTTGCTTTGTCTCGACTGCAAACCAGGCCCATCCAAGTGTTTTCTATTATAAAATACAGCATTGATCTGTGAACTGCTACTCATTTGGAAGAAACTTGGTCTTCAGGAGAGCTTTGAGTCATCAGCTGTGTTTCCGTGGTGTGGAAATAGGAAAAGAAAGAGGAGAGAGAGTTAGGGAAAGCTGGTGTATAGGATTCTGATATTTCTTTTCCCCTTCCTGTGTGTCTCGTGCCTGGGTCAGAAGAAGATGATGAAGACGATGATGGTCATCATCATGACAGGGCAGAGCTGCCGCTGATCCTGAAGACCGACTTCTCTCCATCTTCACAGTCCTGATATGGACACTTTCTCTCGTCCAGGACGGCAATGGTATTAACCCATCCATCCATCTTGTGGAAAGCACATCTATCATCATGTCAGAGCCAAATGTGATTAAAACAAATGCAGCACATTCTTGCTTGATGCTTATTCACAAGTTTTCTCAGTGATTTTGTAGAGGCAAGCAGAGAGAGAACTTGGGGGATGATGGAGTCCCAACCTAAGCTCTGTGACAAGAGAGTAAACTCCAAACCCCATGCTGCCTTACATCATTTTTGTGTTTTTTTTTTTTATTTTACAGTACCCCACAAAAATGAAATATTGTCTCCCATGCTGGTTTTTTCTTTGCAGTGAAGTACATCTACTTGTACCTGTACGTTTTTGGTGGTACCTTCATGCAGTCTCTTTAGCTGTAGATATGTGATAGCAGATTATACAGTGTAGTCATGCTAATATGGCCAGCTTTTTACTGTTTGAGCCAGGGGCTTGTTATGTATGAGGTTGCAGGACGATCTTATCTTGCTTCAAGATTCAACAATGAGACTAATTCATTAGCTTTTTTCCTGCAAGTTTGTTCATGCTTGTTGGCTTTGAAATTAGTTGGTAAAATGGGTGAGGCTATTGGCTATCATGGACAGATACCATACACCCTGAGGTTCACTGAGGGAGCCCCCCCCCCTTTTTTTTTTTTAGCTGTTTAGTTGAACTTCTCTGCTATTCATGAAGTTTCTGTGTTTTACTATTGGAGTATTATTTTTACTTTCATCACCATAATGGTTATTCATATCAGGTATTAAGTAATTGCAGAATATAATGCAGCTTTATAGCTTGCAAATTAAAAAAAAATTAAATTGAGCATTTGAGTGACCCTCCTGCTACCTTATATCAAAGAACACACCTCTGTCTCTACAAGAAAAATTACCATGGCCTGTATTTCTTTGTTTCATGCTGATGTTGACTTTTTAATGTCTTTATTAACATGTATTTATATGGTATTCCCTTGTAGAAAACTCTTTGTTGGTGGACTTTCATGGCAGACTGGCGAGAGTGAGTATTTTTCTTGCACATAACATTATTTGACATCTTTTTAATTTGGAGTTAACAGATGCCCTTGATTATTCTTTGTAGGAGAGTTGAGGGAGTACTTTGGGAAGTATGGTGAAGTGGACAGTGTGAATGTGAAGACAGACCCCACGACGGGTAGATCTCGAGGCTTTGCATTTGTCGTCTTCAAGGAGCAGAATGCAGTGGAGCAGGTCCTTGCGCAAAATGGACACACCATCAATGGGAAGACAGTAGACCCCAAGCGAGCCAAAGCCAAGACAGGCAAGATCTTTGTTGGTGGTCTCCCTTCTGAGCTCTCTGATGATGAGATCAAGGCCCACTTTTCCCAGTTTGGCAAGGTCCGTGTCAAGTTGATGCAGAAATCATGTTGGGCTTATCCATTTTGGACATGGATTGTAAACATGATGTTTTATTGGCAGATTGTTGAAGTGGAAATGCCATTTGACAAGTTGAGAAACCAGCGAAAGGGATTCTGTTTCATTACCTATGAAACAGAAGACATTGTCAAGGAACTCATCAAGACCCCTAAACAGACTCTTGGAGGAAAGGAGGTAAGTACAGATAGAGAACAAATATGGAGTTTTTGATGATTCCTTTCATTGATTGGAGTGGCTTATTTTTTTTGTGCCATTTTGATTAGGTTGATGTGAAGAGAGCAACACCCAAGGCAGACCCATGGAATCCATGGGGAATGGGAGGTCGAGGTGGATTTGGTTTCCGTGGAAGGGGTGGACCCCCAGGGCGTGGAGGAAGAGGTGGCTGGGGGGGAGGTGGGTGGGGCGGAGGATACGGCGGTGGATATGGAGGAGGATATGGTGGTGGATATGGTAAATAGCTATTCTTATCGGACAATATGCACACTTTTGTCTCTCCTTGTATGGGTTGCACAGGATACTCTTCTTCTTCTTTCCCACGGGCAGGTGGATATGGGGGAGGATATGACGGCTATGGTGGCTATGGTGGATATGGGGGATATGGTGGAGGATACGACTACTATGGGTGTGGAGGAGGATATGGGGATGGTGGGTACGGAGGTAAGCATGGCCCTGTATTGAATTGAAGTGTCGACGCTGGTGGTCTTGTTTGCCCTGATGCTGTTGCTGCATGCAGGGGGTGGATATCGAGGTGGAGCTGGAGGTGGAAAGGCACCCCGGGGACGAGGGGGACCCCGGGCTCAACCATATTGAAAGTTCCTTCTAAGAAGGTTCCCTGGACCAGTGCCTCTAATGGCATACAGTATATCATCTGTGAATTTCCTTTTGTTCAACTCAGTTGAAGCGAGTTTGATGATTTTTTTTAGTGTCTTGTGATGGACAAGAAGATCATGTGGACTTCTTATCTGTGGTGTGTCCTTGGTCCTCGAAATAAAATTGTTTTCATAGGTTTATGACTTGATTTCTGTCTCCATTGTACATTGTACATCAGAAGTGGTCAGTACTTGAAGAAATCTGGTAATTGTTTCAAAGATGCATTTTACTGAATCCCTCCTGATGTTTCAAACTGTAGTGGTCATCTGTGCATGATACTGGGTGTGTTCAGTTGTGATCCGAGTCACGACTCGAGGGCCTCAGTTCAACACTTTCATTGAGGCTTCAAAATAAATTTTTCTCTTTGGTGACACCTCTTTTCAATGTTAAATCCTGGGTATAATAGTTTTTGAAAAGCACCGTACCTGCCGAGAATCATGAACCTCCAGTCATGACCCAGGTCACAACTGAATGCGCCCACTATTGTCCTCTGATGGAGTGTATTTTCATACTTAGTGATTGGAGGAATTACACATTCCAGAAGCACTGTTGGGTCATGTAAATGAGGTCATGTATTGAAAGGAGCCTGCTTGCAGGATGTGGTAGGCTTGGGAATTTAATTTATGGATGCACATGAAAAGTTGCCGCCCAAGAATCTCCAGTTTTGAGAGTTGAAATGACAGTCTATCTGATTGGAAAGAAAGTTCTCGGAATTTCATGAACAATTATTACAACCCAGTTTATTTAA